GTGGCTCTTGCCACTGCGTGCCCTCTTGGGCAAGCATGGCGGGGGGGGCGGCATGTGCCCCCTGGATCTATGCATGGGGCAAGGGCAGGCTACCTCTGCGGGCTTTGGTCCAGATGCCAAACTTCCTTGCTACAGCACTAACCGCTGCCTCCATCTGTTATAAAGGTGGCTACAGTACTCAACTTCTGGTTTTGTGCTACAATTTTCTGTACTAGGCCTCAGGATCAAAAAGATAGAGTACTGTTGGCCTAGATTGTAAGCTAAGGGGCAAACCCATAGAAATCATTGCATAATGCTCCAAATAGATATTATACGTGGAGTAACATCTGCTCCTGCTTGCAAGTGAAGGCTTTCTCTTTACTGATGTGTATATTAAGGGTTTCAACCTTTTTTACCTTGAGAATTAAGGGGTCTTGTTTCTTGAGGTGTTTCGTCCCCCCTGCACCTTACACTTGATATGATTTTTCTCTTGATTTTTATAATGACAGTACTGCCAAGTCCCCTCTCAGACAGAAATCCCTTGAAGGTTTAATTTGTTGTTTTTACATTTCTTTAATCAAAGTAAGCGATTGTCGAGCAGAGATTAGTTACATTTAGTTCCAGCTTTCTTTCTAGTGAGTCGTTGCAGTTCTGTAAGAGGCTGTTTTTCTGTTGGTGGTTACTGGCTTTCTTGATGGCTGGTAGTTTTGAGAAGAAGCAGCGTCTCTTGCAGAGACTCTTTTCCCATGAGAAACTATTTAGGCTGCCACACACAACTTTTTTCCAAAGCAGGTGGCATTTGTCCAGCCATCTAAACTATGCCAATCTATGCTAAAACATAACTATTTTGTTAGCCCAGTAGGTTTTCTCTTTTCTGCATTGATTAAACAGCTTTTTGAAGCCTACGTCTGACTTGTTGCAGTGACTTGGCTATGTCTGGCTCTCTGCAGTGTTAATATTTACTGCAGAGATGGGGCTTTTAAATTCAAGGATCTCAAATATTAATTTTCACGTTTTGTTACATAATGGTGATATCCCCACCATATAACTAATTAAACTGAGGCACGTGAAAGTGAGTGACTGACATGACAACAACAGACAGTCATGATTGCTCTACATAGTACAACAGTAGCGTGCAGAAACCCACCTCAGTTGCTTTCCAGATGTTACTGTGTATGGCCACAGAGAGGATTAGGCTTTCTCTTACTCCCCAGTGCTATTCATTTTGATTCAGGTGGCTCAGGAAGGTTTTTCTGTCCCTCTAATTTTTTTTAAGAATGGTTCTTGTGTGAGGTTACACCTAAGCTTTGATGGAAAATGTTAATCAGATGGAATTCGGGGGGCAGGCAACACTGGCAGGTTTAATTTACAATCTAACTACTACTACAGTTCTGCTTAACTTTTTTTTTTGTTAGTTTCTTAATACGTGCCAGATACAGTGTAAGTTCCAATTCCTGCTTCCAGAATGTATGTCTTTTTGCATTAGCTGAATCCAGGTGTTCTGGAGTGTCATGGCAGCACAATCATCTTGTAGAGGCAGTCTTTTAGTCCTTTGATCATGATGGAAAGTCCCATTATGAGTGATCCTTGCTTTTTAAGATTCATTTAGTTTGACCAAAAGGAGATGTTCTTCTACAAGTATAAACAACTGCATATCATTGGGTGGGGAAGGGAGAGAAGGAGGAAGATGGATTTCAATATTTTGGTTTAGATAATAGAGCTAATACCTACAGTCTTGAAAACGATTAGAATCGCTTATCACTCACTATATAGATTTCATAGATGTTAGGCCTGGAAGGGACTTCAGAAGATCATCAAGTCCAGCTCCCTGCCCCAGGGGCAGGAAGTCAGCTGGAGTCATAGGAACGGCTATATGTTTCTTCTTATGACAGTTATACCCTTGGGTAAGTTTATAACTTGCTCTAGTGACTTTTAACCTAAAAAAAAAGCTGTTGCATTTCATTATTTCCAACATAATTCAATGAGAAACGTTTTTGTAAACTTAGCTTGTGTTTGACCCTCCATTCCTCATAGTGAGGATGCATATTCAGCAGTTGTCTACATTTTGTGGCTGAAAACTAGGCTTTTGTCTTGAAGGCTGTTAATATTGAATGCTTCCCGAATTGCCACAAGCTAAATTCTTACTGGCGCTGATCAGTATCTTACTCTGTAAGTAGCCCCAATGAAAAAACCTGACTGTTCTTCAAGTAAAGTACTGCTTGCTCTGATTTTAGGGTAGCCTTAAATGGAAAAGAGCCAAAAACATAAAAATTGGGTTGTGACTCCACTACTCCATATTGGGCACATCTGCACAAGACTCTGTCACTGTAGCATCAGCGGGCACAAACTGTGATGCCACAGCTATGTTGTCGTGTTGCTACAGAGATGTAGCGGCTAAAAATAACTGTGCTGTCGGTATGGTGCAGTAGAGGCTGTTACTGGACCGTCATTTAGTACTTCCAAGAGGAAGTACTAAATGGCAGCACAGTAATAATGGCGCCATAGGGTCATGTGTAGATGTGCCCATTGTATGGTATCTTTCTGTCAAGATTAGTTCCATTGACCTCAGTGGGCAGGTTCCAGAGGTCAGGTGCTATTCAATGCAAGCAAAAGTTTTGCAGAGGTTGGATCTTACAGTGTTGTGGTGGTGCATAGAGGACTTGTACTAGTTAGAGCTGAAAGGACTTTTTAGATTAAGGAGTGCTTCAGTTTGAATGGGAAAGATATAGACGGCTGAGAGTGGATATAAAAAAAAAAAAAGTATTGAACTGATGCTACACTAATTTTGCACAGGCAACCAAAAACAATTTTTGTTCCTTTTGGGGCTTTTTTTAGATCAAATGCCCTCTGAAAGCATGCTGTTTTAAATAGGCTTTATTTGTATTGTGTATTTCAGGATCAGAATTCAGGCTGTCAATGAAATCGGAGCTGGGCCATTTAGTCACTTCATTAAAGCAAAAACGAGGCCATTGCCCCCCGTACCTCCTCGGTTAGAGTGTGCTGCAGCAGGCCCCCAGAGCCTCAAGTTGAAATGGGGAGAGAGCAGCTCCAAACTGCATGCCACAGATGACATGGTCTATATCTTGCAGATAGAAGACAGAAACAAAAGGTAAGAGATGCATGGTTCTTTCTTTAAAATTCAGGAGAAGTGAATGAACTGTAAGGCATTTATGGGAGTAAATCGCAATCAAGGCAGTATTGCTTTCCAGAATATCCTGTACTTATGGGAATATAAAAATACAGCTGTAGTGCGGATTCAGTAATGCTCTATCCCATATATACAGTTTAATCTGTAATTTAAATAATTGCCTCTCATCAAACACTGTTGTTATGGAACAATTGAATTTATAGTCAAAACAGTTGAACAATTGGTTTATAGTCGCAGTTAGCAAGTGCCCTAACTTTTCCCCATAAATCTCGGTATGTTAGTTTTACAACCATAATTATTTTGCCCTCATTGGGATGTAGCATAAAATAGAGAAAGTGGTGTGGTATTGTTGCCAAAGTGGTATTTATGTATTATGATAACACATTTTTATTTGCATGCAGTGCTGTTAAACTAGCTACAAGCAGAACAAATGTGTGAATGACACAATAAGCAAAGAAAGTTCTGGGTAGTGCCGTAGTCTATATTTATTTTCTTTGATGTATTTCTTTTATATTTTCTTTCTTTTTGGACATTAGACAAACAGTGTAAAATGCTGCCTGTCTCTGGAGCTACCCTGTAATTCCTGTGCGTCTTATCCAGCATCCTTTAATGTCAGCTAGGAGCTTGAATAAGAATCCTAGAAAGATAGGGCTGGAAGGGACTTGAGGTATCAGTTAGTCCAGTGGTTGGCAACCTATGGCCCACCAGCTGGATGCAGCCTGCAGAGCTGTTCTAGCCAGCCCACAGGGCCAAGAGGGCTTCGGTAACATTTTGTCAGTAGGAAGCTTTGCCGAGGCAGTGGGGAGATACAGGTGATAGCGCTGGAGGGGAAGCAGTGACTGTGGCTCTGGCTCTAGCAGCATGGGCCAGGTTGCAAGTGGCCCGCACTCAGACCTAAGCTCTGTTGAAGTGGGCCCTTATCTGCAAAATGTTGTGACCTCTAATCCAGACCAACTCCCCACTCAGGACAGCGTCATCCGTGTTTATCAGATCAGTTCTGCATCCCCTTTTTTGTCATCTAGAGCAGCAGTGCTCGACCTTTTTTGCCCCATAGGCTGGATGGGCAGTGCCCAGTCCACCTCTTGGCCGGATCCCACTGGTGAGCCCAATCCAGCTGTGCAGGTGGGGGTTTGGGGGCAGCCCAGCCCTGATCCAATTGTGCAGGGCTGGGAATTTGGCAGGGGGGCAGGGGGTAGCCCAACCCCCTCCAGTGAAGAGGGGTCATAGCCCAGCCCTGAACCTGCTGTGCAGGGCTTGGGAATTTGGCAGGTGGGGAGGGTTGGTGGCATTAATTGCCACTGCTTCCCTGCTGCCAAATTTTCCTGGCCCATGTGAAGCTTCATGGGCTGGATGTGACAGCTCCACAGTTCAGATTTGCTTAATTATGAGAATGTTGTGGGAGACAATATCAACAGCTTTACTGAAGCTGACAAGTATGGCATCCTCTACTTCCCTCCATTCACAAGATCTGTCGTCTTATCTGAATGAGTTTTGACAATATGCTCCAGTATCTTTCAGGTATTGAAGTCAGACTGACTGGTTTGTAATTCCCTTGGTTTTCATTTTTCCATTTTCAAAAGCAGGCACTGTATAGCTCTCTGTCCAGTCTTCTGCAACTTCACCTGATCTCCGTGAGTTCTCACAAAGATAATAGCCAGTGTCTCTGCAATTACTTAGCCCAATTCCTTAAGTCCTGTAGGATAAATCTCATCAGGCCTTGCTGAAAGTAATTTCTAACCTGTTGTTTTCCTGCTTTAGACTGAGTATCAAGCTGCTTGTTCTTGATGCTAACTGTATTTGTCATCTGATAGTTGTGAAGACTGAAGTTAAAAAATATTAAACACTTTATCTTTCCCTGAAATGTCCATTATTAGCTTCCTGTCTGTAAGGGACTTTCCTTCATCAACAAGAAATGAAGAATTAGGTGTTAAACAGTATGCTCCACAAGAAGCTTTTCCTGGTGACTAGGATAAAACCAGTGGGCTCTGAAATGGTGGAAAGGCACAGGACACGCAGTATATAAATGCTGCATAACAGACTAGTAAAATTAATAAATCTGTATGACAACGCACAGATTAGCCACGACTGGCTCATAATTTATTAATAACACCAGCCCTTCACTAGTTTAATTAGAAAAAAAAAAAAACGTTTAAAGTAGATAATTCTTACAGGACTTCACTAATTAGCTTGTTCGAAGTGGACTGACTCCATCCGCTGAAGTGGCATGTTGCCGATTTTGTCAGCTCAGGATCTGTTTTTTTGGAGTTCCGTCTGTGAATGATTAAACCCGTTTGTGAAAGTGTGCATCTACTCCCTGTCTGTGGCAGCATGGTTGATGCTTTCCACTACATAAACAAAGGGGACTACAGATGCCCCTTTGAATCTGTGTCTGATGATGGGGCAGCTTCACAGTGCGGGGCAGCAGTCCATCACCTGCAGCAGTGTGCAGTCAAGTAGGCATTGAAGGAAGTGATGTCTAGCAGGCTGCTTTTGTTTCCTTTCATGTAGCACTGCAGGTAAAAGGATTATCATCCTCCAGCTTGTTTTAAATCTGTTCCTGTATAAGAGAAATAAGAAGTTGCTCTGTAAGAATAAAATGCATGATAGTCCCCTGGCAGCAGGGAGAATGAGAAGAAAGGTTTTCAGGTCCTGTTCCCTCTGTATTGATCCCTCCCACTGCAAATGGTCACTGTGGTACTGCCTGCACTGCTCCTTCTTGTGCAGTGAGGTTTTTTTAATCCTACAGTCTCAGGCTCTGTGATAGCTTCAGTGTGGGCGGCTTTCTAGTTGCTACAGGTTTTACTCAAGCCTTGTCTGCACTGGAGAAAGTTAAACTGATTATTCCTTCCCAACTAAGTGAAAATTACTCTGGTCCTTTGCACCGAAGTGCTTTGATTGATTTGGGCAGGTTGATGGGGGGGATGTGGCAATTTTTTCATCTCGCATCTGAAATGAGTGAGGCTAAGCCCTCAGCCTGGATCAATTGTGGGCCAACATAGATGCAATGTAACTGAGCATTGCTGTACTATCGGTTTTGACGGCTGTAAGAGCTCTCCGTTCCTGACAAGCTGCCTGTATTCGTCACCTAATGATGCTCCCCCACGGTGAGTTGCCCCATGGTGAGGAGACCAAAATCCCTCTGACAGATGAAAAAGATTGACAAGCTGAGGGAAGATATCATTCCTGATGAACAGAGATGACAGCCCATATCTGGCCCAATATAAGCAGCCCTCAGCTAGGGGAAGCAGTAGCTCTTTCCTAAACTCCACCCATAAAATAAGGTCTGTCCGTTAACTGCCAGATGCCACTCACAATGGTGTGTGCTGATGTGAAAAATAATGTTGTGCAGTCTGAGCTCCATTGGGCTCCTATGCTGCACAGTGGGGCTCTAAGACTAGGGACAGGCATTCAAAAAGCCCAAGCCTGAATTGCAGATTAGTCTCTGTTACAGAGATAGAACAGGCTTGCAAGTGTACAGACATTCCCTATTCATTCTGGAAATGACCCTTCTACAGGGAAGCTGGGCTGGGGGGAGGCTGGGTATGGCCAGGCTCCGGCAGGCCTGAGTAAGACTGAGGAGGGGTTTAAACCCCTACCTTGGCCTGCCAGGTTCAGAGGGTGGGGAAGAGGGAGCGCTGCTGGGTCCCTGTGGCAGGGGAGGAGCAGAAAGGGAGAGCTCTGCCCGCCCCAGCGGCTCCCTGACAGCTGGGAGCAACCCAGGCACATGGCGCTGCTCAGCCTTAGAGGGCTTCTCTTCCCTCTCCCACATCACCGTGGGGTGGGCAGGGTGGCTCTGTGCAGTGCTGCAGGGGGACTTTTCCCTCTCCTTCTCCTCCCCTGCCACCCCAGTGCGGGGAGGGGACTGTGTGCGGTGCTGCCTGGCCCGGCCCTGGGTACAGGGAGCAGCTTTCACCTACGCTGAGGGTGATCCCATCCCCATGGCACAGCCAAGGCGGCCACACATCAGGGCCAGGCCGGGCCGCGGGGCCATCCCCAGTGGCTGCGGCTTACTGATGGGGAGGTTGAGCACAGTCAGTAAGCGCAGCATGGCCTTGTGCACATGCACAGTGGGTGGCCAGGCAGCGGGCCACTCAGGCTGGCATAGAGGCACTGGCAGGCCCAGAGCCCAGCAGCCACCTGCCACAGGGACTCACTGTGGACCCACAAGCCCCTGCAGCACCTCCGAGTCGGCCCGGGTAGCCCACTGCCCGGCCAGGCGCTGCCCATGCACACCAAGCCAGGCTGCACTCACTGACAGGGCTCAACCTCTACATCTAGACCACAGTTTACAGTCTGTGCACCCACATCACTGATTACTAATAGCCGAATCTGGGGATAATTTCCTGTATAGATACTGAATCTGTTGTGGGAGGAAGGGATCTCTTTATGTTGGACAGGTTATCTTTTGAATGACTTGTAAAAGTATGGCTTCTCCCCTTTTTCAGAAATAGGATAGGGCACAATTTTTTCTGGAGAGGCTATGGGACAGAGTTCCCTACACCCCTGAGGCTGGGGATTGACTTGCTCACATGAACAGCCTTTTACAAAATACTGCTGCTTGTCCCCTCTGCAGAACCATAAAATCCTCTTCTTCTGAGAGGAAAATAACTATTACTGATCTTCTGGATGCTTGAAAGGGAACTCCTTATTTCAGTGTTATGCTTTTCTGATCCACAGTGCAAGCCTGCATACAGTTTGCTTACTGTGAGATTGCTTGCTTGTGAGGGTCACCAGCACAAAATAATTTAAGGTCATTGAAGCATTTGGTTTGACAGATGAAGTAACGTGTAGGAAAGCAAAACTGGTACGAAAACTGAAAAAATGGTGGCCCAGATTCTGAGCCTTGGTAAAAACTTGTTTTTGATGGTCATTAAAAATAAATTATATTTATTATTCACTAATAACCAGTGCTCTTGCTTGTCATCATTCACTAAGTTTTGTTCTAAATACACCATAGCAAA